ATTCAGTCGCGTCCGAGAGAGGTGTGAAGGTGAAGCGCTCGAGTGCCTGGGGCAGCCGTTCCAGGAGTGCCTCAGGGCGGCCATCTCCTGCCCAGGGTCGCTGCCTCGCAGCCCGCCTCCTGCCCCACCACCGTTCCCCTGGCTGCCCCCTCCCCAAGGTACCTGTGAGGGGAAAGGAGGAACGGTGGAGGGGAAGGGGTGACAAGGGACAGAAGTGGTGGTCCTCCTTGGGCAGAGGGGAGCTTCGGGGGCTGTGGTACAGGGCTGTGAGGGGACCATTGGGGGTTTGTTGTGAAAGGCTGGTGTCCTGAGAGGGCAGATAGGCTGTGGAGCAGGCCAGGGTGAAAGGGAGGACACTGAGCTGGCCGAGGGAGGGCGAGTTGAGAGGGCTAGATGATTATGGGGTGGAGGGTACGAGGAGGGTATTGCTGCTACCTTTTCTTTGCCTAGCACTAGCATGGTCGCTTGGCTTGGCCAAGCTACATGCATTGAGGGAGCAATACTGAGTCCTAGCCCTGACCTTTCAAGGAAACCAAGAAGTGACACAACCCTGCTCCTCCATCGAGAGAGGAGAAATCAGGGGCAAGAGGGGAGCCTGCTCCTCAGTTCTTGTGTTCACTCAGCAGTTTTCTTTATACATTTACACAGGGATAAGAAGGTCAAGTGCAAATCTTAGGAATGCTGTATTTCTGATAGCCAAAATGAGGCAGTTCTGTGCGAGGTTGGGAAGCTGTGTTTGTGTCCCTGCTCCTGCACTGGGGTTCCCGCTAGTAACACCTGGGTGCCTGCGGGAGAGTTTCTTTGAACCAGAAACCCAGATCCTCCCATCTCTGTATCCTCCTGCACCTTCCTGCCCTTAATATCCTTCTACTTATTTCTCAAGTCACCCAAAGCCTTTTAGCCCTGAGTTTGCTCTTTCATACCACCCTTAACCCTAACTCTGGATAGAACCAAAAGCTGTTCCTTGCAAGTTTGCCTTATCCCCAGTTCGTCCGTAGCTGTTGTTTAGCTGCCTCTGCTCTGCCTATCCCCCTCCTTTCCGACTCCTTCAGCATCCTCACTGGTTGTGAGCGTTACTTACCTTCTGGCTGATACTACACAAGCTAAACCCAGTGGCTTTCTCGGTAGAAGCAAAGACGGGCTCCTGCTCCGTCTGGGCGTTCAGAAACCTGAATGCCTCGTTAAATCATTTCCAGAGTAAGAGGCAGTACGAGTTCAGGCTCTGTTTTGCCGAGGAAGAAATCGAATCCAATTTCTCTTGCCCTGTGTAGCTGTTCCAGTCACTCGGTTTGGATATAAAAAGCAATATTCTTGAATCTATCTTTGAATGTCTGATTTTATTTTTTTTTCCCCAAATAAAACTCCTCAGCAAATTTAGCAATATTTAGTGATTCTGAGTGTATGAAAGTTAGAGTTCAAAAGTAATCTCCAGAAGTAAAGAATCGAAAGTACAGTTGGGAAAAAGTATACTTAAGTTTAAAGGTGATAATTGGGGAGAAAAAAAAATCCATTTCTAGTTTCCGTGCCTGAATCTTCAGAAACTTTGATATTTAACATTATTAGGCACAGTTAACCTGTAAAATAATATGCTTTTAAAGCAAAGATTTTCTGTTTGTGAAAGGCAGAACCAGGATTTTTTGCTTATTTCCCTTTCTTGGTAGTATTTCTTCATTCTTTCAGCACGTAGCCTCAGGTTCATTTTACTTGCTGTTTAATATTTGTAAAATAATAATTTCTGAGCATTTTGTGTGTGTGTGTCGTGCCCCCGAATGCTTTCCTAAGCATATCCTTTTTTTTCTGATTCTGTCTCCCTGTTGGAGTTGAGCTTTTAAAAAGTTGCATTTTTGTGGAATTGCATTTGAACATTTGTGACATTGTTTTGCTTGTGTATTTTTACTTTAGTTTGCTGATTTTTTTTTTTAATTTTTTAAACTTTTATTTAAAGAGCCAGTAGCTGAGTCACAAGAGACTGTCAGAGTAATGGTCTGTTCAATACTCCCTTGAAAATCAAGGCATTATAATTGTTCTCTTGCTTAAACAGTTACTTTGCTTGTGATCACCTGAAGGAGCATAAAAATAAATGGATATTTAGGTGCTTAAATGCCTTTAAAAATTACAGTCCAAAGTGCCACAGTAGAGCTGTGACTAAGGCACTTAAAAACAATTCAGAGAGCCCAGTACGGAAAACAAACAAATACTAATCAACTCGAAAGGCTAGAGAAGGTGAAATTTGCCCTTTTCAATACTTAGGATACTTTGGGTGATAAAACATTACTTTTACTAAACAGAGGAGTTTTGCAACATCTGCCACTTGGACAATTTTAATCATATTATTTACCAAATCTCCTTGAACGAGGATATCTGGAGTTTCCTGGCTAGGTGGGGCTGTTTCTGTCGAACATTTACTTTTTTTTTTTAGGTACACTCATTTATTGAGCCACAAAAGGAACATAGGATGTGTAATTGGCATCAAGCTCCACATCTGTTACCTTGCCAATAGCCTGCGCACCTACAATACCCATGTTAATTCAAATATAGCAAATGCCATCATGGTAATCTTACCAATTTTATTGACATTCCAGCTTTTTCATGATGAAAATATCAAATACAAAGGCAAATTCTGTGTCTTTCTGTGTCTTTCTGCAGTCCTCCTGTCTTTGTACAATATAGTTGGTGGGACAAAGAAGTGGACGTCAAGAAAGAAGCAAAAAACTAGAGCTGGCACTACACGAGACCATGAAGGCAGAAGCAGAAGTACAAAACAATAAAGAGGAAGCCAAAAAGCCGAAGGTCAAAGACCAGAAGCTAACATCAGTCTTTGGTGTGGCAGACTTAAAAAATGGTAATAATGTTTTGTCTATTCTTCACTCTCATATTTTCTGTTTCTAATGCCTGCTGTTCCATTCTCTGTCTTTAGGCTTCATTTTTTCCTATTCTTTACCTCTTCACTGAGGAATATATAGATGATTCTCATTTTGCCCTGCCAAGTAACCATTTTGGGTTTTTTGGGAAGGGATTACATGAGGATCTTAGAGCTTTTTACCATTTTAAGTCCTCAAATTGGCCATTGCAGCCAAAAAGTTCTAGAAGCTGACCCTGTCTCTTTCCAAACACAGCGCGTACTGCTTCTGGATTTGCTAAACCATGAATTAGGCCCTAGTTATTCTGCTGCATCACTAGTTTGGCCTCTCAAAAGCTGTCATGAGTATTTCAGGTGTACATACTGTTCTATCCCAGCTATAGCCCACTCTTACCACTGATGGTATGCATTTCAGAGTTGTTCTCAGTTTCTGTTCCATGTCCTCTCTCCCTTTCATGATGACTTCAGAAGAAAAACTTCTAATTTCTAACTACAGTTACTTATACTGCTTTGGGACACAGAATGCGCCATCTTTTTATGCAGTGTGAACAGCTGTGACTTGCTTTTTCCAATTCTCTCAGGCTAGTTCCTTTCTTTGAAACTGAGACAAAGAATATCAGAGGCAGGCTGAAGGGGAAACTTGAAGCCTGTGTGGTAGACAGCGTGTGGTCCTACATGTAGCTCTTCATTTTGTTATTAGGCCTGGCTGTGTAAAAGGCTGAATAAAAATCCTCATACAGGCAGCCTTTGACTTCTGTTTCTTTATTTTATGTTTAGGTGTGTTATGAGAGGACTGGAAAACAGAGGAACTAGGAGACATCTGAGTATGATAATCCAGGCTTACTTGGATTTTTTCTGTCAGTTGCCAAACAAAAATAAATGTTATCTGCTTGAGCACCATGAGAATAGATTGAACGCTTTCTCAGGTCTGACCAAGATGCTGGGCCTGTGTACTGAATGGTTGAATAAGTGCAAGAGGAATTTGCCACTTTCAAATAACTTTCACTTTCTTTTCTCATACCTATGTCCAGGCCTCACTTCCTCTTTTTGTGTGCCTACAGGAGCTGTTGGACTGTACAATGTTGGACAGAGCTGCTGCCTGAACTCTCTGCTCCAGATGTTCTTCATGAACATACACTTCACAGGCATACTTCGAAGGTACCACCTGTTTGAACTACCTGAGATACTTCCTTTGTTGCTCTGTTGTCTCCGCTCCTTTTTTTGTATGGGATGTACATTTGAAGTCTTGGATTATCAAGGTGCTTTTAGCTCACTCAACAAAGTCTCTGCCTTGTGGTGTCTGTCATGTACAGACTAGGGCCTGCAAAGGTAGAAGTTGTGGTGTTCTGACTTGTCAGTCATCTCTGATTCATGTGCTGTTTGCACACTGGTAAGCTGCCGTCTTGAACTGAGTCTTTATGACTTGTATCTCTTTTTTCCATAACAGGGTATGATTTTATTCCAGATATACTCATAGGCCGTTTTACCTAAAGGATGTGTTGTACATAACCATATCCAGTATTAATTTTGTAACTTTAAGCATGTAAACTTAAACGTATTGTGATCCATAGCCTGATTGTCCTGGCTAGTACCTGATAAGAAGTGTTGTTGCAGATAGGCGATACCTAGTCTTATTTTGTTTTGCTTGACTGTGTTCTCTGCTTTTTTGTGAGGAGGATTTGGGCTTCTCCCTCCCTACCAACAGCACTAATAACTGGTTTGTTTTGTTTTCAGTTTACTCAGTTCACTGCAGCTTTAATCATCTAAGTGGATCATTCCTATTCAGTCCTCCTTTCTCCAAATTTCTTACACACTCGCCAGTGTGCAGAGGGGGAAGAAGACAAATTACCCGCACACAGAGATGAGAAGTGTCATAAATGGGCAAAGCTAAATAATCTAGACAGTAGGTTACCATTGTTATTTGAAGAAAGACCTAGAAAAACCTGTGGATTGGAATAAATTTGGGGAGGGTAAAGAGCTTTCCAGTTGGCATATAGTTGAAATACAAGCATTATGATATACATGCCCATGAAGTTTTAAGGGTATATTGAGAATGAAGGCATGAACAGGTGGGAAGCAAGAACAGCTCTGAAGCTGGCTGGAACAAATGTTGTGCTGGCTGGAACTAATGTTGTTTCTAGAGCCCAGAAAGCACTTCAGCTCCTGCTCGGTTTGCCCCTTATTCAGAAAATGGCCAACTTAAAATTGTGGCCTTTTCCTTTAGAACTGTGAGATGAGCTAGTGCAGGCATCTGCTTTCCCTTTTTCCTTCTTTTGCTGAAAACATGCCCTTTCTCATTCCTCTTGAGTTGCTACCTGTGTTATCCACCTATGCTCCTTCAGGTGTGATGTCTGAGATTTCTCCATTGTACCGCTTGATTACCATTCGTGTTGCTCCTTCTCTTTATAGGATCACAGTGCCACCATGTGATGTGCAGAAGAGGAGGAATGTCCCATACCAAATGCTCCTGTTGCTGGAGGAGATGCAGTGTGGCAAGCAGAAAGCTGTTTCTCCCACAGCCCTTGCATGCTGTCTTTCAGTATACAGAGTGAAATGTAAGAAGCACTGCCTCATGCCCACCTCTGGAGACCAGGGATGTTAATTACTAAGCACTAACAAGCAGTGCAAACTCTGACATCTCAGAGATTCAGAAATGTGAAGAGTTAGGTACACAATGATATAGTGCTCTTTATAGCTGCCTCTCAGTTGTGAGTGAGATGCTGTGTCTTGTGAAGCAGGGGGGGAAAGCCCCTGCTGGATATCCTTGCTGATGTCCAAAGGGTGGGAAGACTATCAGACTGCTAGAAAAATCAGTGACTGATACTGGCCGGATGGAAAGGGTTGTGCAGGGCAGAGGGAGGACAGCTTGTAGCTTGATTTATCTTGGTATACTGGCATGATAATAGTGAAACAGCTGCTATTGCTTATTAGAAGGAAGAAATCATGTGGAAAACATACTGAGTTCACCTAGATCCCCAAGGACAGAAACCATATCCTTCCTGTTCCTTGTTATAAGGGCAGAGAGAAGGATTTGCTGGCTTGACCTTCCACCTGGGCAGGGTCCCAAAGGAGAGAGAGTACTAAATGCACGGGTGACTGCTGACGATGGGATGCTGAGTGTCTGTTTATGTACACAAATAACCACAGAATATCCAAATGCCCTGATCTTTATCGTATCAAAGCCAAAACCAGACAGCACTGAAAGGGACAGATGGTAGCCAGCCCAGACCTGTATTAAAGAGGAACATGAGATAACGTGAATAGACCTGGGGGTGCTGGTTGACAGCCGGCTGAACATGAGCCAGCAGTGTGCCCAGGTAGCCAAGAAGGCCGATGACATCCTGGCTTGTATCAGCAATAGTGTGACCAGCAGGACTAGGGAAGTGGTTGTCCCCCTGTACTCGGCACTGGTGAGGCTGCACCTCGAGTGCTGTGTTCAGTTCTGAGCTACAAGAAAGATGTTGAGGTGCTGGAGCGAGTCCAGAGAAGGGCAACGAAGGTGGTGAAGGGCCTGGAGCACAAGTCTGATGGGGAGCAGCTGAGGGAGCTGGGGGTGTTTAGTCTGGAGAAGAGGAGGCTGAGGGAAGACCTGATCGCTCTCTACAACTACCTGAAAGGAGGTTGTAGTGAGGTGGGGGTTGGTCTCTTCTCCCAGGCAACCAGTGACAGGACAAGAGGGCATAGTCTGAAACTGCACCAGGGGAAGTTCAGGCTAGAAATTAGGAGGCATTTCTTCACAGAAAGAATTGGAATTAAGCATTGGAATGGGCTGCTCAGGGAGGTGGCGGAGTCACCATCCCTGGAGGTGTTTAAGAAAAGACTGGATGTGGCACTTAGTGCCATGTTCTAGTTGACATGGGCGTGTTAGGGCTAAGGTTGGACTCGATGATCCTAGAGGTCTGTTCCAACCTAGTCGATTCTGTGATTTCTGTTTGGATTATTTTTCCCCCTGAGACTGAATGGCTCTTCATTCTACCTTTTCTTTTCCAGTTACAGAGAGATGCCCAAAGAGAGTTTGTAAAGCTTGACAGTTTCCTACCTTCTTGTTCTGCTTTAAAATTCAGGTGTGGTTCATAGAAGTCCTATATCCCAGCAAGTGGTGCTTTACTTGGATTGCAAATGTGCTATTAAACATGAGGAAAGCTGTATTTCCTGAGCTTCATTTAGTCATGGATGTCTGTAATCTTACTAGAACCTAGCTGAAGTCAGTACCTGCAGACTTGTAGGGAAGTTGAAAGCACTTCCACATCAGGGTGTTGGATTATTCCACAAATTTTGTTTCACCTATGATCAATCATAGAGGTAGTCCAGAAATACCAAGATTTTGCTGAACTATGTCTAGTTTTTTGCCCAGTTCCTAAATCTTGAGTTCATCGTGGGCTGAGAACATCAGTTGTTTGCATTCAAGGGTGTGGATTTTTTTTTTTCCTGCCTAAATTCAATCTTGAAGCAATTCTCTGCTGAGCCATTCTAAGCAAGCTGTGCATTGAGCTGTATCCAACCATCTTAAGTTTCTTAATATGCCGGTTTAGTCAGAGTGGAAAGCCGAAGCATAATGTTACTACATCATCCTTGACTTCCTGTGCTGAAACTGTGTGCTTTTTTCCCAGGGTAGGGATCAAGGGGTTTATACCATTCTGTGGATGAGACATATGGATATGCCTCCCTATCATATTTATCTCAGCACTCAGGAGTGTTATAGCCTTAGCAAGGGGATGGGGGAGACAAGTCTGTGGAGTAACGAAGGTGGAAAAGAGAACAGAATCTTCCCTATATTGTTTCTAAGAAGGACTCAAATAAATGCAACCCTCCATGAGACATCTGAGCCCTGTTGTCTGGCTGGTATTGGGTATACTCCTGGCCCTGACAGGAGTGACAAGGACATGACTTTTGCACTGGGTTGTACAATGGGCGCACTCAAGCCCTCCCATCTTTTCCCATTGCCTGCTCAGGTCACATGGAGACATTGCAGCTCGTCTCCAGTCTAAGCTCTGTCCCTGGCAGGGAGTGGCACAGGAACAAGAGACTGGATCTAATGGGGGACAATAAATCTCTCTTTGCCATCTGTGGGAAATGTGTGCTTGGTGCTGTTCATAATACTGATTGAGGTTGTATTTTCTGTTTGTCCAGTGTTTGTGCAGCATGATGCTGCCCAGCTCTTTCTGACTCTCTGGAACTTGATAAAGAGGCAGATGAAAAAGCCAGAGCTGGTAAGTATGGTCAGCGAAGGGAACACCAGGTCCTTTGGCCCTTGTCATGTGTGGTTTCCTCTGCTTCTTGAAGAAGAATCCCATTCACTGATGATTGTCCTAAATGCAGTTCTAAAATTGTCCCCTATCTGGATCTTTCCTTGTATCTTTTAAATGGGAGAGGGAATCTTGATTTCATAGGCTTCAGCATTTTGAGTCACAGTTCATCCTACTTTTAGGGCATACCAGAGTCTCCGTTCTAAAGGGAGAGCTGGTTAATAACAAAAAGTTTGATCTTTTTGCAACAGTGAATTTAGTTATCTTGCATTTCTTTTTTTCCCAAATTTCACTAAGCATTTATTGGTATGTCTTGACACAACTCCTCTGTTCTTTGAAGTCAGTCATGAGCATTTCATTATAATTAGTTACTGTTAGTATGTTGTGTATCTGACAGCTCCTCCCAGGGGAGCTGTGTAAGGGGAGCTGTGTAAGGTAAGAGAAAAGTGACTCTTCCTCAACCCACTGTCATAGTTTTAGTCATACAGAAGACAGTCCCCTGTTGCAGTTCCAAACAAAACAGTAACATTCTGCATTGAAGCAGACATTTAACTGTCTGATCTTGTTATAGGCTGTGTCTTTCCTCTCTGCTAGGGGATGAGGGGAAGGAGTTGTTCCCCTTTAAATGGTGGGAAGTGCCCCTGTCCACATCTGTCAATATCAGATCTGGGTTCAAGCCTTAAAGCAGTAACATTGCATGAAGTAACACATCCACATGGGCTTTCCCACCCACAGAGGGAAATACCTCAGCTATGTTCTTCATAAACCTTGTTTTGCCCTCTTTTTACTTCTCCAGGTTGAAGAGCTGAGTGATTTGTACACTATCTGTGTACAGGAGCACTTGGCCTGTCAGAGATGTTCTTCTGAAACGATGAGGAACAGCACCATGTTAACCCTTCCACTCCCACTGTTGGATTCCCATTCTCGCATGCTGAAGACTCTGGTAAGTTCAGTGGCAGCACTGTTTCCTTAGGATGAAGATTCCTCTCTGTACACTGTGGGAGCCTTCTCCTTTCAGCGCTGGTGTCTCCAGGGACTCGCCTAGAATCTCTGGGACTTTGAGGTGATCTTTTCTCATTCACGTTTCTTCTTTGTTTTGAGGGGTTCTAAATTTCTCCAAAAAATGGTTTGATTTGGGGAACGGAAAATGAAGACCTTGAATTGCCTTTCTAAAAAGGGTGTTGACTAAATACTCTGTAAGACTCAAAGACTCATACTACACAGTGATGTGTATCTGTGAGACCTTAGATACCACAGTGAGGTGCCCTAGGTAACTTGTAATCCTTGGCCAGAAGCACTACATTTGCCCAGTGCAGTGTTCTTTTATCATTAAATCAGTACTGCTGTTCCATATCCAGATAAAGCAGTGATGGTGGCTATGTAGGTGCTGCCACAAATAGACAGTGGATTTTTCAGGTGACAGTGGACCATTAGACCTTATTTATTCTCTGATCACTTTATACTGTTTCAGCCTAAAGGAACCTCTTTCAAAACCTCTAAGGCTTTGAAGTAGGTATAAAAGACACTTAGGCATCAATATCTATTTTGTGGAAAATGTGGTACTCTATTTTTTTCAACTAATGTAATGACAGCAGCAGCTAGGAAAAATGGGGTACCTTTTTTTTAGGCTGCTAAGTACTCTTTTGTCCTTTGAATAAAATACGCCTTCTGTAGCTTTGCTGTTTGCTTGTACCCTGTGAAACAAAGTAGAAATAGAAATCCAGCCTGAAGGAATGCATTTGAAAGAAATCTCCTTTGTCATCTTAGGAGGACTGTCTGCAATGCTTTTTCGACCCAGAAGAGCTGACCGATCACAACATGTGTTTCTGTGAACAGTGTGGAAGGAAAACACCTTTTCTGCAGGTAACCAGAGAATTATTTCCCCATCTGACTTTTGCACTCAGAACTGCTTTTGGGACTGGGAAGGTAGGAGAAAGGACCCAACCATATCAGTTTAAGAGATCAACAACTCAAAGGTTTGTCAGTACAGCAATGTCAGCTAGGTATAAACCGCATGCATCTTTCCTGGTAGGATGTTCCCTACTGTAGATGTAGCTCTCGCAACAAAAGAATGCTTTCATGAGTTTTAGTGTAAGTTACCGAGGGATGTAGCATTTCTGTACCAGCAGAAAAGCTTCTGTTGGTTTACGTTGTGTTTCCACTGTGGGGCTTTACACTGCTGCATAGCTCCAGGGGTAAACAAAAATATGTTACTGGAGCTGTGCATACACATAAAAGTAGGATGCTGTAGTGTGATTTCCTTTCTTCCCTGCTCTCCACTGGGCTCCCCATTTTTTACAGTATTGGTCTCTGCCGGACGATGAATTAGCTGTTTCATGAAGAGGCAAGTGCATTGAAGAGAGAGGTGTGTGAGGGACACTGCCTCAGCCTCAGGCTTGGAGGGGACTTTCCACAACCTTTTCACCATTGAGCCACCTCTGAGGCCACAGTGCATCCATATGTCTTGGTGGCAGCCATGGCGGCAGCAGTAATATCAACAAAGGCAGAGCTGGAAGGAATGAGCTGTCAGCTTGGCATCCTCCACAGAGCTCTAGTGGCCACGTGTCACAAGGAAGTTGGCTTGCCTCTCCTCACCTACCTAGTGCTACCAACCTAGGGTTAAGAAAGCAGATGAGAAATGAAGCAGCCCTTGAGATGCCCAAGGCTGGGTGCTGATCATGCTGAAGTTGAAGAACTTGGTTATCACAGCTCCGTTAAGTGTATGTGTCTCGTGCAGATGAGCTACAAAGGTTTGGTGTCTGCTATCTGGTGGAATTGGCAATTGTTCATTGTAGCACTGACTGTTCTCCATGCTACATTCACTGGGTGGTAATGGCTGTTTCCAGCCCACCTTCCCAGGGTTTGTTCCTTAGTTTTCAATTGCATTATTTATTGTTTTACAGAGCATGAAGCTAGTCCATCTGCCACAGACTCTGACCATACACCTCAAGCGCTTCCGCTTTGAAAAATCAGCCTACATTCACAAGCTTAGTCACTATCTGCCATTCCCACAAGACCTTGATTTCAATGCAATCTTGACAGAAAATCAGTGCCAAGCACATGACGATGAAAAGGTGAGATACTCTAATGCCCTGTTTAAACAGGACAGATTTTCCTCTCCCCTAATCTCAAGTCTCATAAAAACTTAAGAGATCACATCAGTACTTGCTTCAGTTCAAAGCACCTGTCTTAAAAATGAATGTCTTGGGCTTTACCTGTGCCTGGTGGTGTCTCACATCACATGGTTTTAACTGGTTCAGGCATTACTCAATTTACTGTGCTCAGATTAAATCACCAAGGGCACCATAACTGGAGCTTTCTGCCATAAGGAAAAAAAACAGGCTTAAAAAACCTGACAACCAATCTCTTTTTTTCTGAGGGTGTTTAGCATAACTTTTTTTGTCCATTTCTAAATATACTAGAGAAAAGATGAAAACACAGTTCACTTGGATGACCAAATCCAGACATTGTAAACAGTGTCTTAGAGGCAACTTCTGTCCTGTGATTCAGCCTCCAGGGCAAGATGGCCTCATTGAGCAGCAGACCTACTGCTTTGCAGAGGTCACTAGCCCAAGACAGGGCAACTCCATTCCTGGCAGTTTCCCATGCAGTGGTGTTTGCCCCAGAGTTGAGGTTAGATGGGGGACGACAGCTTTGCCAAGCAGCTGAGGGTGAGCTGCCACACTGTGGATCTGTTCCCCTTACTGAGAAATCACAAGGGGAAGTGTGGCAACAGCAAAACGCCATTGGCGCAGTGTTGGCTGCAGTGTAATCCGTTTGCTGCCCCTTTGCTGTCCTACTGCTTTTTTCGCATTCCTGTGATCTCCAGGGAGAAAATCTGAGGGAAGGCAGGATACTCAAGGCTGACCAAATCTTTCTCCTTTTTCCTTACAAAACACACATTCTTGCTGTCCTGGCTACTGCTTCTCTTCAACCGGTGGTAAATGAGAATTGCTGCACTGAATGTTACTCTGTGGCTCTTCACAGGCTGCCTGGCAGTATGAACTTTTTGCTGTTGTTGCTCATTCAGGATCAACTAGTTGTGGACACTACTGTGCCTATATTCGAAGTCTCACAGAATGTAAATGGTACTGCTTCAACGATTCTGAGGTTTGCCAGGTGAGGAGACAAATCCACATTTCTTTTGTAGCTTCCTGGACAGTCCTCCAGATCTCATTCAGTCTGACTGACTGCTAATTAAAGAGAACTAGGAAAGAAAGCTGAAGCTGCAGAGCTTTGTGCATCTTATGCCTCTGCTACAGCATACTCTGAGCTGAGCGCAAAGCGGCTCTAGCATCTGTACCAAACAAGGCCTCAGGTTCTGGTTTGCAATTTGCAGAGGCAGCCATTTGCTGTATACTCTACTTTAGGTACTCTAGATCTGTTTAATGTATGTGCTCAGAAGAGGCAAAGGAACTGTTTTGCCTCAAAGAGCAAAAGCAATAAACATATTTATTAAGAGGTGTTTAATTCCTGGAAGTACCACTTACACTGCTCTATTGAGAATTGCTGTGCTGGTATCACAATGTGTCCATCTCTTAAGAGTTTTTACCAGCCTCCCCTTGTGTTTTTCTTCTCTAGGTATCATGGGATGATGTTAAATGCACCTATGGACATTCCAACCTCCACTGGTAAGCAAACACATCTCTGTTTTTCCCTAATGCTGCTGTGGGGTTTGGAATGAGGGTAGCAAAGAGGGGGAAGGCAAATGGTTTGAACTGCATATTGCCTGGAATGTACTGGGGGTGCCGGAGAGCAGAAGAGGCATCCTTGTGTTCTGGTCACTCTGATGTGACTGTGTATGACTATACCGGCAGCCTGCAGGATTACTGTGTAGTCACAAACGGGGATGCAGGAGTGGTCTTCTTACTTATGATTGCCACTTGCACCCTAGCTAGATACGTCAGTCAGGATTCCTCCATGTTTTTTGTTTTGATGCATCATAAGGAAAATGAGCCGTGGAGGGAGATAATCCCTCCTGTAAGCTATAGCACTGCCAGGGAATCAGCTTTATATGCTGCCTCAGGAACACTGGAGAGGGCCAGTTCAGTTGACCTAAACCTCAAAAAGCTGGGAGGTTACTTGCAACCTAGATCTTCAAACATACATCTTGTTTTGTTTTTTCTTTGCTTCCACAGGGGAGAAACAGCCTATCTCTTGATTTACATGAAAAAACATCCTCAGTAGCCTTACCCAGGAGTATCAGAATGTCTTGGGAAGCTGTGCATTGCCCATGGAGCTCAGCACCTCCGTGCCAGTGTGGATGTGTACAATCGTTCCACAAGAAAGACATTCTGCACTCAGCGACCTCTGCCTTCACATTTATTTATGAAAATAGTGCAGTAGTGCAGGAGAGACTCAGTGAGAGAAAGGATCTAAGAACTGTTGCACCTAGAAACTTTTTCTTTCATATATTTCTGATATTTATGTGATTCTATATATTAATTTAATCTTAAAAGATAGTAAAGTTAGTCCCTGTCTCTGCTGACCTACCAGTTTCTTTAATGCTGATACTTGGATTCTAGTGCAGGGGAAGAGTTTGGCCTGAAAGCCTGTGTGATGTTCTAGGGAGGCACATGGTATGGCTGGGGGGCTGTGATAGCCATGCCTAGCCAGGAAGACTGTAAGAGCTTGAGACTTACTCCGCCCTTGTAGCGCCATGTTAGATGTTGGCAAGCTGGGCAGGGGACCCCAAAAGTCTTGACAAACAGCTGGAACAAGGACCAGAACCCTTATGACACATGCGCCAGTGATGTTTAGTCCTTAAAACCTTCCTGAAAACAAATCACTGCAGGGCTTGAGATGTATTTGAAAGCTGGTGTCAGCATAAAAATGTGTTTTAAGATCAGGAGCTATTGTAGTAGTTCTGATCTACAAGATGGTTTTGTATATATTTATGCAGATGATTGTTGGCTTAGGATGCTTATCAGGCATTTATATGCATTTTCTTTCCTGTATAGAGGAAAATATTCAGAGCAACAGAGATTCTGAAGCTAGCTAGTGATTTTGCACAATACAGTCGATACAATGTGATAAGAGGGGAAGTGAGACACCTTGTGTGCTTGAACTTTTGGGATTTTCCTTTAGTACTCTCTAGCTGGTTGCCAGCTGGAATTGTCTTGCTCAGTCCCTTCCTTGTCTGCCCGTGAAGTGGAAATGTCCCTCAAGCAGAAAGTGTTCTAGAGAAAACAATTTTATTAAGTGAGTGAGTAATTTTTAAATGTCCTGTTGACTCCTGTCACTCTGTGCTGTTGGTTCAGCCTGTGCTCCCATGGCAAGGCCATGCAGCTGGAAGGAAAATGTAGAGAGAGCTAGGAAGGAAGGTTGATAAGGTGACAATCAATCAGAAGAGTGTTCCAAAAGCTCTTGCAAGACTCAGCTGTGAGGAAAGTTAAAAACTGGTTGTGATGCTTTTACAGCGCTTATTGTGGAAAGTCTTGACATACCACAGTCTGTGAAAGGATTGGTGATTCCAGTAGTTTGAGGTCTAAAAGTACCTTCTAGCCTAACATATTCTTTGACTGTATCTTTACAAGGGTGCTATTCTTGTGTGACTGAGTGCATTTTAAAATTATTAGTTTAGTTTTAATAGCAGCTATATATAACCCAATTTTTTTTTATAATGATGATGAAGTTCCTAAATCATGTCTGTTTTCTTGGTATGTGGAAGGTGAATTGAGAAAATCTTGGCGCATAGCTGTGAAATTACATTTTTATGAACTAGTGGGTACTTATTTCACTGTACTAGCAAGGTCCATTATTCTGTTCAACTGTCTTGTATTTGTACTATTCATTCTCCATTAAAAAAAAATCCCAGTGTATTGTTTGTCACCAGGATGAGGAATTTTCAGCCTATTCGCCTTCAGGAATGTGTTACACAACACCTTGCAGTGGGTGAGTAAGAAAACCAAGTTCCTGTCTGCTTTATCCAGCACTTTGCATATGTGAAGTAGCTGAAAGACAGTGCACTTCCAGAAATTGAGAAGTTAATGGGTTAAGAGACTGACAAGACATTTCTCACTTGATATAACTTGAAATTAAAAAACAAGCTATGCTTATGAAAGATGCTTCAAATGTGTTGTAACCTTCCAGGTATATCACCCATCAAGGAAGCAATTGCTGAGATATGTTAAGAATCTTTTTGTCACTATCTCGGTGATAGCAGTCAGTGTTTTTTGAATAAAATAGTATGGGATAAATTCCTCAGAAAATAAGTCTCGTGGATTATTCTTGTTCTGTTTTTCCTAAACACTGTAAATGCAGGTGTTGTAACACTAAATACAGGCCACAGGCACAGATGTTGTATGCTCCGGTTAAGTATTCAGGCTAGAGCTACTGCTAATGTTTAAGCTCCAACGAGGAAGTGAGGCTAAACCTTCCCTGGGCACTTTGCCCTTGTGCTGGAGGCACAACAGGTTGATTGTCAGGTTTGCTGTCAGGTAAAAGCTTATGTTGCTTCCGGATCCAGGTGGGCCATGAGAGGAGCAGGACGGTGTGCAAACTGCATTGCATATAGATTTAAAAACTCTGCCCAACTTGAACTGCTTTTGCAAAAAGTCACCTTGGCTGTCTCTGTGTCCACAGCAAAGTTCAGTCATGCGCTGGATAAACTGCCCAAGGACGACGCTTAGCTAAGCGTGTGGGATTCAGTGCTAGCGTATGGATACACAGTTATCACATGGAGAGCAGGTACAAGGTGGTGACCACCTTGCCCAGGGGCTGGTGACAGAAAAGCACCACCTGCATTTCTGCCAGAAAAAAAACTTCTGCTGTAGGGCCACCACCGCAAAGGAGTTGGGATTATTTGTCCTGTGTTTGAGCCACTATGCGAATGAAGCCTCGCATGGGTAGCAAGGGCATTGAAAAGCCAGGTAAAGCCAAGAGTACGTGTGTGGAGAGATTGTTGTAGGTCCTGGTACTCTTCCTTTCCATTTTTTCTTTGGTTTGGGATTACCATGTCTTAAGGGAAGGGGCAGTAGCAAAATACACATTCTCTGCTTTGTCTCTGACAGACACCTCCTCAGAGTCAGTTATTCCCCACCTTCAAGAAACACACAGAAAAATAGAAAAAAGTAAATATATATAAGAAATGTTTACATCACACACGTGTAATCTCTGAAACTTCAGTATGTTGTAAATTCCAAAACTTTACATGAAAGTAAAAGAGAAATAATTTTTTGATACTTTACTTCCAGTATCGCTTTAATTTACAACAGTCACTTATCAACTAGTTATCATTGGTATTTACACAAAAATGATGCACATGAGATCTATGTTTAAAAAAGACCTTCAAAAAGGACCTATCCTAATATGAATTAAAAAAGGTGAGTTGATTAAAACTGTAGTTACTCTGAACTACCATGAATTGTGTAAATCATATTAGGACTTAGCATTACTAGTAATTTTAATAATAATGGCTTTACTGCTAATTTTGTGGATCACAATAATCTGCTGTATCTGACAGATTCCAATAGCGAATCCTGTGATAATATTCCTGCGGGGGAACAGTATTAGTTTTAAGTCGTCAAAGGTACCTTCTCCCAACAGGTTTAACCTTTGCTAAGCAGCTTCTCTCACTGGCAGTCGCTACTTTTTCTGCTCCCTGGGGACAGCTTCAGTTTTTGCCCTCCTGGAAGCCATGAACAGTGGTCCTTCACTGGCCCCCAGCGTTTCCTACAGCGCTGCCTTTTGGGCAGCTTTGTCTTACTGGGATCCTGCCCTTTAAGCCAAGTTTCTGGTCCCACACTGACGGAGGCCATACTTCTCCCAGGGACATTTTGGCAATGTCAAACCAGGATCGGCTTTGCTGGTAACATTCAGGCTTGGGGTTGGGCTTGGGCTTGAAGTTGTGAGAGGAGAGCAGCACTTTCCTAACAAATGCAAACAGAAATCTCAAACAACCTTTAGAAGGTACTTTATGAAGCAGTTAGTTTTTAGAAGAGAGATATTTAGCTCTGACTCTGTGCTGTTTCCCACATGGCAGGCTTATATTTTACTAGCTTCTGCATAAAAATGAGAGGTTTTTCATTTTCCAGAATAGGCTGCTATTCCTATTGAGCCTTGTAAAACTGTTTTTTCAGTTTATGCAGAAGAAGTTTTTTGGTTGTGAACTGTAAAAAAAAATCTAGTGTAGGACAGCATGCAAACAGAAAAGATCATACAGTAACAGTGACACAGTGTCAAGGCACCCAAAGCTGTTTGGCTTCCCACAAGTGGGTAAGCATAGGGAGTGACACATTGGCTGCTCCAGGAAACACAGGTACCATAGTCTGCCATTAATGATCATCAGTCTTGCAGATTAAGTAGCTTAGATTTTGAAGAGTCATGCAGAGCTAACATGATGGCTCTTGAAAAGACAAAGCTTTATTTATTTCTTAGCTCCTCTCTCAAGTAGGGGGACCCCTTCCTTACAAGGACTGTGTTTTCCCTGTGGTTCTTAACAAATCAAACTGTGGAAATGCCAAAATGCTTCCAAAAGTTTGTCCTTAACAGTGAAATAGAGATATAATCCACTGTCTACCTGATTATTTTAAATATATGTGCTGCCTTTGGTCCGGATAGAGTTAATTTTCTTCATCCTAGCTATTATGGAGCTACGTTTTTGGATTTGTGCTGGAAACGTTGTTGATCCTTCAGCAATGTTGTCACTTCAGCCACTGAGGCGAAGGGCTCTGGAGCG